AGGCCCCCCCCCCCCCCAAGCCAACAGCATCATGCTTAGTCATGACTAACAGATCATTTAAAACTAAAAATATAAGAAATGTTGTCCATTCCCTGTTTCTGAAAACTCTAAGTATCTGATTATCCTCTGGGAAAAGAAGAAGCAGTTAAATCAACTCTTAGTCATCCATGGGTGAATCAGCCACCTGTGGATTTTCTGAAGCAAGTTTTTAATTACTGTTTGACCATGATATATCCCAGTACCCTAGCTATTTCTGGGTCAGCTATTTCAACCCTATACTCAGGAAAAGCCAGCTAATTTAAATGGTAAACTCAGAGAAAGGCAGTCTACTACAACCGAAATAGACATTCAAGTAGTACATCATAAAGCCAAATCGAGATTATTTTTAGATTAGAAGCACTATTATCCCTTCCATGATTATATATAATCAAGGAGTGACTACATTGGAGATGAAAAACTGTTAGGATGCCAAATCTTTTCTACTTGACCATATGAAGCAGGAAAAAAACAAGTTTATCTTTTCCTAAAATATACCTTATCCCTGTGGGATGTTGCTAGTAGGGGAGGTGTGTGTATATGGGGGCAGATGGTATGTGGGAACTGTCTACTTTCTGCTCAAGTTTTCTTTTAACCTAAAACTGCTCTGAAAAAGTAGTCTAACCTCCCCACCCCCCCAAACAAAATCCTTGTTCTTATGTAGAAAACAGAGAATTGTATTAAACTTGATTTTTATTTTTAGACTGAATTTGATTGATATCCAGTCTAAAAACATTCAGCAAAAGTTGAATAATTGGCTTTTGTTTTTAGAGAGCTATTACCAGCTATGATATTTGAACCACAGTTTGCTTTTCCAGAGGGGGGAAGAAAATCAGCTTTTGTGAAAGATGTATTTTAGCTCTTTGAAACAAGACACTTAGAATAAGATGACTTTGCAATATTTTTGAGATGTGAAACCTAACAGATGAGAAAATCTGGTCTACACAGATGACTTTTCTTCATCTCTGTGACATAACTTTGGCATAAAGTAATGTTATTCATCATTTTGATTTTCTTTGAACTGCAGTATAAAACCGAAAAGCAAATCTTAAAGACACAGAAGCTGAACCTGTCCGTTTGGCATCGGGATACATTTAAGCGCAATAGTTTCCTAGGGGAGGTAGAACTTGATTTGGAAACATGGGACTGGGACAACAAACAGAATAAACAATTGAGGTGGTACCCTCTGAAGCGGAAGGTAAGTTCAGAATTTTTCGGTTGGTTGGTTGGTTGGGGGCATGAGTGCAGGAAAAAGCTTAATTGCATCTACCTCAGAGTGCTGAACTGCAGTTTGGGATCATTTTAAACTAGGGTTGGACTTATTTAGCTGTACATTCAGTGAAGAAAGGGTAAAAAAGATCACAGGGAGAATGTTTAAATCATTTAACCCAAATGTTACAGGGACTTCAGGAAGGTCATTTAAATAATTCAACCTTTTGAAATATGAGACTTACTTTTAGCCTACGATGTGGTCAAATTTTGATGAATGTTCCATGTGTCACTTGGAAAGAAATTTTGAGATTGTCTTATTAAGTATATACACATTCAGAATTGTTATATTTTCCTGATGAATTGACCATTTTATAATTTTCCTTTTTATCTCTAGTAATGCTTCCTGCCTTAAAGTCTACTTTGTACTAGTATAGCTCTGTCAGCTTCCTTTTGGTTAGAAATTTGTTTTTATCCATTGATATTTGAACATTTTTAATTTTTTTTTTTTAGCAGCTGACCATTTGGGGATCTGAACCCTTGACCTTGGTGTTACAACACCATGCTCTAACCAACTGAGCTACATTTCTAAATTCTTGTAGTTAAGATAAGTTTCTTATAAGCAATAGTTTTGATTTTTTTTCTAGTCTGAAAATATTTGTCTTTTAATTGGACTGTTTAGCCCATTTTCACTTAATGCAATTATTGACCTTTGGGTTCAGATCTAATATCTTAATATTTGTCCTTTTTTTCTCATTATTTCCATAATTTTCTCCTTTGGGATTATCAGTTATTCTATTACTCCATTTTTCCCTCTATTAATATGTCAGTTATAGTTTTTTTTTTCTTTTTTTTATTGGTTACTGTAGACGTTACAATATGCATCCTTGAATTAAAGATCTCTAATATTTTTTTTTTTTTTTTTTAAAGATGACCGGTAAGGGGATCTCAACCCTTGGCTTGGTGTTGTCAGCACCACGCTCAGCCAGTGAGCAAACCGGCCATCCCTATATAGGATCCGAACCCGTGGCCTTGGTGTTGAAAACTACAGGCCAATATCCTTGATGAACATAGATGC